GTAGCTCACGTTTCTTCAAGGAAGCTCCCCCCGCCGCCCTAAAGGCGGCGGGGGGGAGCTTCCTTTTTTTGTTCTCATGCCGTCGGACAGGGTCGTCGGCGACCAGGGAGCGTTCCGCGTCACTGGTCGAAGTTCCATCTAAGTACATCTGATTCACACGAGCGAATCAAAAGGGATGGACCATGAAAATGGCGTTGCTTTGGCGCCTTTGTCAAAGGCCCGAACGAGAAGCTCAAGTGTAACATTATCAAGGAAGGCTTCGGCGCCATGAAAGGCACCCTTTGGATAGGTTCGGCCGTTACATTTATTGCCTTTATCAAGGAGAAGCGGTGCCACAACTATCTGCTTGCTCTTACAGTAAGTGAAGGCAGCTCGGATGATGGCAGCATATGCTTGCAACGTGCAAACGGTGCCCTTAGGAAGCACAAATCGCCACCCTTGTGTGAACGCAAAGGCAGAGAGCTCAAAAACAGAGCATGCAAGGCCTTCACTGACCCGCCATCGGAGTGTGTTCGTAAACTCCAGGAAAACTTTGAAGTTGATCCGGGAGAGCTTGGGCTTATCACAGAACGAAAGCTCTGGGTCATTGTGGACACTCCAAGGATACTGTTGCACCTGAGCATCCCATGGCCATCTTGGGCACTTTTGGCGTGGTGTTAACGAAGGCTCAGGAGGGCATGCAGCAGCTATGGCAATGGTACTGCATTGATCCGGCTTTCTGCAAACTTTGTTGATTTTGGTGAGCCAAAGCTGCCTGGCAAAAAACGTCATTCTCTTTCATGGTAAGGTCATGTTTGTAAAGACGAGCAGTTTCATCCAGTTGCTGCTTTGCAAGCAAGTCGGCTCTCCGATTGAGAATAATGTCCTGTTTGTTTGACCCGGCAGCATGTGCCATAGCATCTGTGAGCTCTGATACTGGTGTGTCTTCCAAAAGGTGTGCGGGACACCATACCACCTGGAGCGCATGCTCACAGTGATGTTGGCGTTGAGCCACTAGTGCACACAGGAAACCCCACCAGTTGGTATGAGTCCACTCAACTCGAACATGGCCAATACGTTGCATCTCCTGGAACTGGTTGACAATGGTGAGTGAATCAGTGTGGACCACCAATGGTTGCTCAGCAATGGCAAAGGCAACCAACAGACCCCAAAGTTCAGCTGTATAGCTTGAAAGGCGCCAATGGTAAACCCGGCCTGCTGCAAGTAGCGATTCATCAGCTGCCACAACTGCAAATGAGGCCATGGTATGCCAGGGATGAGTGGAAAATTGGACCGAACCGTCAGTCCATACATGCCGAGCAGCTGGGATCGGAGAGGTCCAGTCAGCCACTGCAAGGTCAGATGTGTTTGAGACCTGTAGTCGGTTGCGTACACCATCCAGAGGAAGCTCAACAATACCAAACGTACTGAAGTTTGGCCCCAGGAAGAATTGGGTGGAAGGCTGAATCAAGTCCTCTGGAAGCTGATCACATGTGTGCACAAAATGTGGCAGCGATTCCTTGTGGGGGGGGAGCTTCCTTGAAGAAGCGCTCACACTATTCATTTGGTTCCTAGCTTTTTAGGGAAGCTGCAATGTGCGATACTATATAATTGTCCTATTTTGCCAGAAGCCGTGGGCAAGCTCCAAGCATTTAAGCGGAATGGAGAACGCACATTCCATTTGCTCACTCTGGATTAGAGGCTGTTACCAACAAGTCAACTGGGACTACTTGGGCAGTGTTGCTGTAGGAGCTCGAATCATATCCCCCGCAGCTTTGTCCTGTTTCTGAACAGTTTTTTTTGGCTCCCTGGCGAGTGGGCCTTGACCTTGCTCGATATCACAGGTCCGTATGTTATTTGGAGACATATTTGTAGCCTCCATAGTTGGAAGCAATCCAATTCCGCAGTCAAAAGCTAGTGCAGAATGACAGAATGACAACAAACATTCGGCACACTGTAAAATCGAGTCTTTTTCTGAAACAACACGCGTTTGTTGCACATGCCCTGCTTCCAGCAAGATGAGCTTCAAAGTGACATGGAAGGTTCCATTCAGAAATGGAAGGAACGTAGTCCAATGTGTGCTCAGGATATCTCCAAATTCGGCAAGGGCCAGGCTAGTCGGCGGGCTTGGACTTTCGGAAATGGCATGGCTTGGACTTGTTTTGCTTTGGGGGGTAGGAGCAAAGGACGCTACTAGGAGCAAAGGGCATCGCTACTAGGAGCAAGGACGCTACTAGGGCTGGCCTTCTACTAGGAACAAGAAGCTAAATAAGTCGAATTAGAATTAACATTAATGTATGTTTGTGTTTTGTCTTCTGATTGCGGCAGGCCAAGACCCTTGATGAGCTATACCGCAATGTGGCTGTCGGACTCTGAGTCCAGAATTGTTCTGAATGAATGAGTAACCGATCCAGCGTTGGGACTTAAGCGCCTTGGCGTATAAACTGACTTGACTGGCTCCTGTTCCAAGATTGAGAAGAAGTCCTACTTTGTGAACCAAAATGACACCTTGGAGCGGCACATGAACCTAGCACGATGCCGAGTTTTACAGATGATGCGGCAACATTCCTTGCATAGCATGCACACGCACAGATGCACGTCAAACTACTTGGTTGTAGTTACAAGCAACTTCAAGGTAGTATTGCTCGCCAGGTGAACATCAATTTGACCGTCACAAGTCTGAGACTCACCCAGAATAAGGGCACTGCTATCGTGCCTGCAGTGTCAAACGGATGTTCATCCATTCATCCACATGCAGCTTGCACCAAATCACTTGAGTACTTGCTTGTGAGGCCCGGTGTCCGGTATAGACATGGAGCTACGCTTGAATTGTGAGGTGCTCAAGGCAGGTGATACCATTGTTACCTTACAGACATGTAATGCTGCAATGCTGATGCAGCCCTTTGGCATTTTGGCATTGACCATTTTTGACCCCATTCATGCCAGGACAGCACGCTTGTCAGGACACTCCGCACAAAGCCTGAATGTTACAGATTCTTTCAGATTGTTTTGTTGCTCTCAAGAGGTATGTTTGAACATACTATTAGAGTGTTTCCGCAAATAACATGCTTTGACTGAATGCTTCAAGATCAAGATCCCAGAAACCGGAAACATGGATATGGATGATACTCTTTCTTCCCACACACTTGCGGGCAAGCATTTTCAGTCTACACTTGAGAGGCACAACCTGTCAGCAAAGCAGATAGGTGATTTGTTTGCAAACAAAAACATAGCATACAACTGTGATGCCTTCAGACTGCCATTGTCTCGTGTATGGCAGAAAGAATGCCACATGCAACACGTCGCCTTTGCCTCGATTGTGCCCACACCTGCAAACGTCTCTTGACTGGAAACACGTGCAGAATGTCATTGCAACACGTGCAGTTTTACATATGTTGCTCAAGAAGATGATATGAGCAGTGTTAAGAGTTTTAAACTTTGCGCACATCACTCTTACAACTCAGGCAGCACCAATGGGATGTTTCTTTTTTGATGAAGGGCCTACTTCTCCGTAGAAGCCGTACTGCATAGCTAGAGACTTGACGCTGACCAAGAAGATTGCAGGAGAAATCAGAAGCCCTCCTCCTTCATCGAAGAGGGTGCTGACTGGAAATCGGCTGTAGTGCCATCCTTAAGTTCTTTGGCCTTGCAGCTTTCTGCCTGGCAGTAAATTTTCCCTGTGTGCGCTCGGAACACCAGGATGCCTTCTTTGACCGTCGACTGGGCCTGCCTGAAGAGATTCGCAGGGACTTGCCTGGTGCCCATGAGAAGGGTTTGAAAACATTGGAGGTGAAAGTCTTGAGCGACCCAAGGCTGGCCCAGGACAACAAAGTCACTGACAAGGTTGGGACTAGGACAGTTCTGAGGACCTTGTTCCCTGCCTTTCAACACATCGAACACAATTCGAACACAACCTTGAAAGTATTTGAAGCAGATGCTGACCGATTCTGCTCTACGGGGTTTGCGACCTGACAAACAATTGCAGGTTGGAAGGCTGTGAGGTCCTGTGTTTTTTCTCGCACTTGAAGTTCCTTGAGGGACATCACAAGTAGGATAGAGTTTTTTGGAGAATACAGCGAAACATAATAAAATTAACTAATGCATTTGCTGGTGCTCCGATGCTTTCCCTTCTGGGCAAGCCAGGCTTTCGTACTCGTTAAAGGCACATTGCCCTGCCATATGCTCCACTACTATGACCAATCCGACTTTGCTCCCAACACATACCACTACGGCTGCCCGTGGTGCTTCTGCCGCTGCTGCTCAGCAACAGCACCAGCAACACCAGCAGCCAACACCGCCGCCCGCAGCAAGCAGCCAGCAGCCAGCAGCCACCAGCAACCACCAGCAGCCACCAGCAGCCACCAGTAGCCACCAGCAACCACCAGCCACCAGCAGCCACCAGCAGTCACCAGCAGCCACCAGCAGCCACCAGCAACAGCAGCACCAGCAGCCACCAGCAACAGCAGCAACAGCACCAACAGCAGCAACAGAACCAACAGCACCGACAGCACCAACAGCAACATCAACAACAACGGCAACAATCGAACAATGCTGCTCCTGTTCCAGTTCCTTCTACTGCTTCTGCGACATGTACTTCCGACTGGTAATCATGGCATGGATTCTTCGAAAAGCCATTAGCCAAAAGATATCAAAAGATGCTAAAAGGAATAGAGGATAATAGAGGTACTAGATGTACTGCTTTCGAGTCGTTCTTTGTCATTATCATGCTTGATGCCCAGGCCGCAACCCTGGCAGACCAATCGAATGATTAATGTTCATTGCTCTTGTGGATGCCGAATTGTCACGTTTTGCAGATTAGGAAGACTGTGCAGGTTGAGAGGATCAAGTCGATGTTCTTCCCGGGTGTTGACACCATGTGCCTGCCTAAAGAGTATCCATCAGAAGAATCTGGGGATGCACCCTCGGAGTGCGACATTGGCATGTCCTTGCATAGCTAGAATGCCAGATGACGTTCTTTTCTCCACTTTCAACTGCCAGAGAGGAGCTGACATCAAAACCGCCAAGCCTTTTTGGCTTAAGGGATATGTGTCTCCAGTGGGTCTAGCTAGAGGCGAATGGCTGGAGGACCCCCAGCTGCTGGCCCAGGAGGCATCCAGCAGATCTTCGAAAGAAATCAAGAGGCAACGATCTATGTGGGAAACCTGGATCCCAAGATCGATGAGGAGGTCTTGTGGGAGCTCATGGTAAATTGTGGGCCAGTGGCAAATCTTCATCTTCCTCGTGACAAGATCACAAATACCCATCAAGGATATGGATTTGTAGAGTTCAAAAATGAAGAGGATGCAGACTATGCCATCAAGATCATGAACATGATCAGGCTCTTTGGGAAGCCCATTCGATGTAACAAGTCTTCACAAGACAAGAAAACCAACGAGGTTGGCGCCAACCTGTTCATTGGCAATTTGGAGCCTGAGGTTGACGAGAAGATGCTCTATGACACCTTCTCTGCCTTTGGGGTTTTGCTTTTCGCGAAGGTCATGCGCGATCCTGACAATGGCCTGTCGCGTGGCTTCGGCTTCATCTCCTACGATACCTTCGAGGCATCCGATGCAGCGCTCGCAGGCATGAACGGGCAGTTCTTGTGCAATAGACCGATCAGTGTCTCTTATGCCTACAAGAAGGAGACCAAAGGAGAGAGGCACGGCAGCGCCGCGGAGCGGCTCATTGCAGCAAACCGTCCCATTAAGGACACACCGGGTGGCGGCGCGGGCCCTGGGGCTGGAGCTCCTGTTCGCTCCTCCATGCCACCCAACATGCCACCACCTCCAATGGGATAAAGCGGAAAAGATCGAGGAAAACCGTCGAACCATGCGAAGCATGTTTTGTTGTTTGCAGTTGTATTATGAAGGCAGAAAGGCAAAACATATAGCATACAATAGCAGATTCACAGAAATCACACACTGACCTCTTCAGCTGAGGTACACTACGCATGAAGTTCACATCCACATCCCAGATCCAAAACGGCCAGAATTGAAGGCCACTTTGTGGTACCGAACTTTTGCATTTCATCAAGTAACCATAGTTTTGAACTGTTTTGTAGTTTTATATCCAAACACCTTGATAACCAGACCATGCTGTATGTATAATATATATATATACAGGTATGTGCAATGATACGTGGCAAGTCCAATGGGAATTCAAAGCCTGAAGCCGGCTCGAGCCACTTCACCCCACTTCGCCCTACTTTGATAGAGATTGCACACCTTTTCCTCCCTGAAGCTCTCTTTTGAGAGTAATAAGACTGGGGAAAGGACAGGAAAGCTGGGCTGGTAACCTGGATTGGAAGATTTGGACGGGAGGGATTGGTCACCCTCAGAAAACTTAAGTATATAGTCAAGCTTGAACTAAAAAGTACTTGAAAGGACATCATTTATATATATATATATATTTAAGGGCTTACGCCCGACAGCCGGCCAGGGGCCCAAGCAAAGGGCTTGTTGCAGTCGTGGTAGTGTGCTTGTCATTGTAGTTGTCGTTGTCGCGGTAGTTGTTGTTGTAGTTGGTGGTAATGGTGGCTCGTTGTTGTTGTTGTTGCTTTCTTGGCCCAGCTTGGGTCGATGTTGGCGTATCTTGGGGGGCTATCTGGGCATCTTGGGAGCTATGCTAGCCCATCTTGTCGCTATGTTGGGGCTATGTTGGCCCATCTTGGGGGCTATGTAGGCCCATCTTGGCGCTATCTTGGCCCATCTTGAGGCCATGTTGGCCCATCTTAAGGGCTATGTTGGCCCATGTTGGGGCTATGTGGCCCATGTTAGCCCAGCATCCGCCCACGATGCAGACGAAGCACCCCGGTGAGGCACGCATTTCCAGCATTATTTGGACCTATGTTGGGCCATGGTGACCCATCTTGAACCACAAAGCCGGAAAAATTAAAGAAGCAGAAATCACTGTAAAGCACAGTATTCTGCAGGGGTCGGCGGCGGAGGGGGGACTCCCC